CTGAATGCTGGCATCTTGGCACCAAAAACCAAACGCTATGGAAGTTAAGAACACAAGTTTCAGCCAGGCACAGTGGCTCACACCTGTAATCTCAGCACTCTGGCCAAGGCAGGAGGATCACTTGAGCCCCAGAGTTCAAGACCAGCCTGGACAATATATGAGACTTCATCTTCACAAAATGAAAAAAATTAGCCAGGCACAGTAGTGTGTGCTTATAGTCCTAGTTACTAGAGAGGCCAGAGGCAGAAGGATCCCTTGAGTCCAGGAGTTCCAAGCCAGAAGGGAGTGGGGGCCAATATTCAACATTCTTAAATAATTTTCAGCTCAGAATTTCATATTCAGCCAAACCTTCATAAGTGAAGGAGAAATAAAATCCTTTACAGAGAGCAAATGCTGAGAGATTTTGTCGCTACCAGGCCTGCCTTACAAGAGCTCCTGAAAGAAGCACTAAATATGGAAAGGAAAAACCGGTGCCAGCCACTGCAAAAACATACCAAATTATAAAGACCATGGATGCTATGAACAAACTGCATCAACTAATGGGCAAAACAACCAGTTAGCATCATAATGACAGGATCAAATTCACATATAACAATATTAACCTTAAATGTAAACAGGCTAAATGCTCCAATAAAAAGACAGAGTGACAAATTGGATAAATAATCAAGACTCATCAGTGTGCTGGATTCAGGAGACCCATCTCACATGCAAAGACACACATAGGCTCAAAATAAAGGGATGGAGGAAGATTTACCAAGCAAATGGAAAGCAAAAAAGGCAGGGGTTGCAATCCTTGTCTCTGGTAAAACAGACTTTAAACCAACAAAGATCAAAAAAGACAAAGGGCATTACATAATGGTAAAGGGATCAATGCAACAAGAAGATCTAACTATCCTAAATATATATGCACCCAATACAGGAGCACCCAGATTTACAAAGCAAGTTCTTAGAGACCTACAAAGAGACTTAGACTCCCACACAATAATAGTCGGAGACTTTAACACCCCAATGTCAATATTAGATCAATGAGACAGAAAATTAACATGGATCTTCAGGACTTGAACTCAGCTCTGGACCAAGGGGACCTAATAGACATCTACAGAACTCTCCACCCCAAATCAACAAAATATACACATTCTTCTCAGTACCCCATCATACTTTTTCTTTTTTTTTTTTTTTCATACTTTTTCTAAAATTGACCACATAATTGGAAGTAAACACTCCTCAGCAAATGCAAAAGAATGGAAATCAGTCTTTCAGTCCACAGGGCAATCAAATTAGAACTCAGGATTAAGAAACTCACTCAAAACTTCACAACTACATGGAAACTGAACAACCTACTACTCCTGAATGACTACTGGGTAAATAACGAAAATAAGGCAGAAATAAATAAGTTATTTGAAACCAATGTGAACAAAGATCCAATGTGCCAGAATCTCTGGGACACAGCTAAAGTAGTATGTAGAGGGAAATTTGCAGCACTAAATGCCCACAGGAGAAAGCAGGAAAGATCTAAAACTGACGCCCTAACATCACAATTAAAAGAACTAAAGCAAGAGCAAACCAATTCAAAAGCTAGCAGAAGACAAGAAATAACTAAGATCAGAGCAGAAGTGAAGGAGAGAGAGAGAGACAAGAAACCCTTAAAATATATATATATATATATATATATATATATATATGGGAATCCAGGAGCTGGTTTTTTGAAAAGATTAACAAAATAGACTGCTAGCCAGACTAATAAAGAAAAAAGAGAAAAGAATCAAATAGACAAAATAAAAATAATGATAAAGGAGGTATCACTACTGATCCCACAGAAATACAAACTACCATCAGAGATTACTATAAAAACCTCTACACAAATAAACTAGAAAATCCAGAAAGAATGGAGAAATTCCTGGACACATACACCCTCCCAAGACTAAACCAGGAGGAATCAAATCCCTGAATAGACCAATAACAACTTCTGAAATTGAGGAATTAATTAATAGCTTACCAACCAAAACAAGCTCAGGACCAGATGGATTCACAGCCAACTCCTATCAGAGGTACAAAAGGGAGCTGGTAGCATTCCTTCTGAAATTATTCCAAACAATAGAAAAAGAGGGACTCCTCCCTAACTTATTTTATGAGGCCAGCATCATCCTGATACCAAAACCTGATAGAGACACAACAAAAAAAACAAAATTTCAGGTCAATATCACCGATGAATATCATTATTTTAATTATAATGATAAAATACTGGCAAACCAAGTCCAGCAGCACATGAAAAAGCTTATCCACCATGATCAAGCTGGCTTCAACCCTGGGCTGCAAGGCTAGTTCAACATATGCAAATCAACAAATGTAATCTAGTGCATAAACAGAATCAATGACAAAAACCACGATTAATTCAATAAATGCAGAAAAGACCTCCAATAAAATTCAACACCCCTTCATATTAAAAACTCGCAATAAACTAGGTATTGATGGGACATATCTCAAAATAAGAGCTATTTATGACAAAGCCAGAGCCAGTATCATACTAAATGGGCAAAAGCTGGAAGCATTCCCTTTGAAAACAGGCACAAGACAAGAATACCCTCTCTCACCACTCCTATTCAACATAGTATTGCAAGTTCTGCCCAGGGAAGTCAGGCAAGAGAAAGAAATAAAAGGTATTCAAATAGGAAGAGAGGAAGTCAAATTGTTTGTTCACAGATGACATGACTGTATATTTAGAAAACTCCATTGTCTTACCCCAAAATCTCCTTAAGCTGATATGCAATTTCAGAAAAGTCTCAGGATACAAAATCAGTGTGCAAAAATCAAAAGCATTCCTATACACCAAAAATAGCCAAATCATGAGTGAACTCCCACATTCCCAATTGCTATAAAGAAAATAAAATACCAAGGAATACAATTTAGAAGGGACGTGAAGGACCTCTTCAAGGAGAACTACAACCCACTGCTCAAGGAAATAAGAGAGGACACAAACAAATGGAAAAACATTCCATGCTCATGGATAGGAAGAATCAGAATCATGAAAATGGCCATACTGCCCAAAGTAATTTATAGATTCAGTGCCATCCCCATCAAGCTACCATGGACTTCCTTCATAGAATTAGAAAAAACTACTTTAAATTTCATATGGAACCAGAAAAGAGCCTGTATAGTTACCACTGACTTTCTTCACAGATATAAGAAAACTACTTTAAATTTCATACAGAATCAAAAAAGAGCCCCTTTAGCCAAGACAATCCTAAGCATAAAGAACAAAGCTGGAAGCATCATGCTACCTGACTTCAAACTATACTACAAGGCTACAGTAACCAAAAAAGCATGGTACTGGTACCAAAACAGATATATAGACCAATGGAACAGAACAGAGGCCTCAGAAATAACACCACAAATATATAACCATCTGATCTTTGACAAGCCTAATAAATACAAGCAATGGGGAAAGGACTCCCTATTTAATAAATGGTGTTGGGAAAATTGGATAGCCATATGAAGAAAACTGAAACTGGATCCCTTCCTTACACCTTATACAAAAATTAACTCAGGATGGATTAAAGCCTGAAACATAAGACCTAAAACCATAAAAACCCTAGAAGAAAACCTAGGCAATATCATTCAAGACATAAGCATGGGCAAGGACCATGACTAAAACACCCAAAGCAATGGCAACAAAAGCCAAAATTGACAAATGGGATCTAATTAAACTGAAGAGCTTCTGCACAGCAAAATAAATTATCAGAGTGAACTGGAAACCTACAGAATGGGAGAAAATTTTTGCCGTCTATCTATCTGACAAACAGCTAATATCCAGAATCTACAAAGAACTTAACTTTACAAGAAACAACCTCATCAAAAAGTGGGTGAACAATATGAACAGACACTTCTCACAAGAAGACAGTTAAGGGGTCAACTAACATATGAAAAAAAGCTCATCATCACTGGTCACTAGAGAAATGTAAATCAAAACCACATCGATATACCATCTCATGCCAGTAGAATGGCAATCATTAAAAAAAAAAAATCACAAAACAACAGATGCTGGAGAGGATGTGGAGAAATAGGAACGCTTTTACACTGCTGGTGAGAGTGTAAAATTAGTTCAACCATTGTGGAAGACAGTGTGGCAATTCCTCAAGGATCTAGAACCAGAAATACCAATTGACTTAGCAATCCCATTACTGGGTAATATACTCAAAGGATTATAAATCATTCTATAAAGACACATGCAAATATGTGTTTATTGCAGCACTGTTCACAATAGCAAAGACTTGGAAGCATCCCAAATACCTATCAATGATAGACTGTATCAAGAAAATGTGGCATATATACACCATGGAACACTATGCAGCCATAAAATGGGATGAGTTTATGTCCTTTGCAGGGATATGGATGAAGCTAGAAACCATCATTCTCAGCAAACTAACGCAGGAATAGAAAACCAATTATTGCCATGTTCTCACTTCTAAGTAGGAATTGAACAATGAGAACACATGGACACACGGAAGGGAATGTCATACACTGGGGCTTGTCGGGGTGGGGGACTAGGGGATGGAGACAGCATTAGGAGAAATACCTAATGTAGATGATGGGTTGATGGGCACAGTAAATCACCATGGCACATGTATACCTATGTAACAAACCTGCATGTTCTGCACAGGTATCCCAGAACTTAAAAGTATAAGAAAAAAACGTTAAATTGTTATCTTACTATATATCTTTTCTAAGTAAATGTACCAATGATTATGAATCGATTTTTGCCTCTTACCACATTTAAGTATTATCCCCTGTCCTAGGACCCACGCTTTTCTAAGATCCTGGAAAACCTAAGACTCCAGAAGCGTGGCACAGGTGGTGTGGACACTGCCGCGGTTGCAGATGTGTATGACATTTCCAACATAGATAGAATTGGTCGATCAGAGGTAATGTCTCTCTCACTTTCCTGACATGAATTAACAAAATCAGCCTGAGAGAATAGAGAAAAGCAGCCTAAACAGCCTTACCGTTTTCACAGAATTCGAGGCCTCCTCTTCACCCATCCAGTCCTGAGTTATGTTAGCTTTTCATTCTGTAACATTATTTTTCCATGGGAAATAACTGCATAAAGGTAAACATAATGTGAGCTGAGAATTTACAGGCAAGTATAGGAATTTACAGTGGGGCTGTTGTCACCGACCTGCCTTAAGAGTATTCCAACAATCTTCAGCAAGCAGGAGCTCTATTATGCTAAAGGACTGAAGTATTTTATTACTTCAAAGTCAGAACATCTGTGCTATCCTTGGAGGGTGACAAAACGGTGGAATTTTCTATTGATTCTGAATTTTCTTTGGTGAAGGCTACATGCTATCATCTTTACTTTGGTGTTCTTAGATGCTTGATGGTATCTACACTTTTATTTCTTAGGCTAAAGATAGCAAATATGTCATGTGCCAGGTCTAGATAAGTTTGTGTTCACAAAATCCTTAGGATTCTGTGATGAATACGTAGGTTGAGAAGGATTCACAGACTATGTGTGGCCCTGAAACAATGAAGCAAAAAGATCACATGGTAAGGAACATGCAGCTGAACGCTAGGCAAATACTGATCATGGTAGGTTATACCAGCTTATGTGGATGTGGTCTCATTGGACAGATCATGCCCATCATTAATTTAAAAGCCTCTTTTCATAACAAAACTCTTAATGATTCAAGTGACTGGTTATTAAATCTATGGATTATCAAATCTGTCTTCTTCCTTACTAGTTTTTGAGTATTTCACTGCCTATTGATATCCCACCCATACACTGAGGAAAAGGAAAGGAAGAAACACTCCAAACAATTAGATCAGCATGTGTGCTATCAGCTGTGGTAAAGTACTTGAGGGACAAGCAACTATAATACCACAACCTCTGAAATTTACCGAATAATGTGTGGTGTAGTGAATAAAGAAAATCTGGGAGTCTATCTCTGTTGATTCTAATATTAACTAGATATTTATTACTGGAAAATCATGCAGTTAATGCTTAAATTTTCAAGTCTAACTATAATAGGCAGTCATAAAAGTTAGCAAACTGCCAAAAAATAATTTTAAAACACCATTTATTTAACCCAACAACCCTGATAACCATTGTGAACATTATTCTAAATGGCCCTTCATTCTTTAAATCTACTCAAAAAACTTTTAAAAAATTGTTGTAACACATATTTTAGTATTATAACCAAATACTACTTATAATTTTTTCCAGTGTATTATATCATAAGCATTTTCCCAAAATATTAAGTATTCTTCAAACACATGATTTTTAATCACAGTAAAGATAATCCATTGTCTATTTAATGTTTTCCTGAGTTTATGTTTGACCATCTCTATATATAATTCTAATCACAACTCTGGTTTTTTAGTTAGAATATACTTCTAGGAAAGGAACTGTGGGTTAAAAGCAGGGGGCCCTATTTATGACCAAGTTTTTTATCAGATTTATACCAAGACAGAGTCCTACTGACACTGAGTGACAGACCCATCTCATCACACTCTCACCAACACTAGAAGAGACCAAAGGGACAAGCAGAAAATACGTTTCTTTAGTTAGTAGTGAATAACTTTCTGATTCAACCCTCTCTTGGGGCCTGAGTTTCCTTATGCATATAAAGAGACAGGGAGGCAGCTGGAATCTGTGATGCCTAAGCACTAACATTCAATGATCCCTTTCACCCTTGCTGTTCATTTTTTAGCTGTATCATGTATTGTCTGGAATTAACTAATTTCTCTCTGAATTTAGGTTTCCTTGGGAACAGTGCAAGTCATTTGCTTAGGAGGGGATCCCAAGGGAAAAAAATTATAAGTAGATGCACTCTGGTTTAAGGAAAACCAATATTTGGAAACCAAAGTTCTAAACATAGTTTTTTAAGAGCAGGAATTTTAGAAAGTATATCTTAATAGAATTTGCAAAACTTCATTTCATTAATAAGCCTGGCTAGCCTAGTACAAACATGATTTAGCTGCCAAACATTTGACGTTACATAACTTTTCAGGAAGATGCCCACTGTGTAAATGATGACATCCGAATTACATTGGCATATCCAGTGCTCAGATAGATTAGTGACAGGTCAGAATTCAGATCCAGGCCAAAGAACACCACAAGGGTGGCACTGTGGTGTCTTATTTCTAGATAAACTCTCACATTTTATAGCAGATACTGATAGGAAAAAAAGTTTCAGATGCCAACTAATGCTTTTCATATAGTAAAAAAAGCTTTCACATACAAAGTAGTAACCCCATCTTAACTATGGAAAGACTGAGAAAAACCCTTAAAATATCTCTACCTTCCATCTTTGAGGAGAAAGAAATTGTGGTGAAGTCCATCTAAGTGGCAAGTTCTCATTTATCCCAGTGTTGTTCCTGTCACTGCCCTGCAGGTGTCTTCTATTCAAATTAATAATTCATCTTCTTCACTGTCAAAGGTGGAGCTTGTTCAGATAGTCATCGATGGAGTCAATTACCTGGTGGATTGTGAAAAGAAGTTGGAGAGAGGCCAAGATATTAAGGTGCCACCCCCTCTGCCTCAGTTTGGCAAAAAGTGAACTTTCCCTTTCCCAATGTATAAATAATCTGTCTGCTGGTATGACAGACATAAAGAAATCTCTACTCTGAGAGTTTTTGTACACTTGAAAAAATGTAAAATTGTAGGTCCTGCCTATCTACAATAAAACTCTCCTTAATATATCTTTGCTTTGTTTCTCTGATTTTAAAAATAATACTAGGGGCAAACACATCCAATTACAAGTAGACAAGGGGCAAAATATTTTAAGACAATGATAAAACTAATATTTGTAAGTTTTGATTTTGCCACAACTTACATACTCATCTAAATAACCCTTTGGCTATCTAGATGTGTGTCAACCCTTTCAGAAATCTCTTATGGACACCATTGAAAGGTGAGGAATTAATCAAATAAATAATTTTCTGGCAAATGAAGCAAGAGGGTACTATTTCTCTTGAAAGTGTGGAAATAAAGATTAGAGGCTACTTATTTATTCAGAGTTTGCTATCACAAGGGAGTCAGCCATCATCACTTGCATTTGGCAGAGACATGAGAAATCTATGGTAAAAGAAAGGGGATGCTTCAGGTATGCCCTGATTGGGGTTTCAGTCATGGGGACGTTGGAGACAGGCTACCTAGAAGTGGTATATGCTATGTGATTAGTTTGGGAAGCATATTTGGTTTTATCTAATTGGTACTGAGTTGGAGGCAGGGGCAAAAATTAGGGAAGCCAGCAGTCATTGATCAAACCCTCACCATCCTGTACTGATTGTTATAGAGGGCTGGGGCTTGGCCTCCTAGAATGGTTGCTTTAGAGGTTGTGGGTGAGAGTTCTATTGTCCCGTGGTCTAGCCATTGTCTCTGTATACTCAGTCTCTCAAAAACAATTCAAAATTTGATGTCTGAAATACTGAAAATGCTTTTAATATAATCTGAAAGCATGCAGATCATTATCTTGAATCTTGTTATTTTCCATCTATCTGTGATGTCTATAACCTGAAGGGACATGACAGAGTAGCTGGGAGCAATTAATTAACAAGTTTGAAAACAGCTCCACCCACAAAAGACAAATATTTTTAGCATAGTAGAAATGAAACCAAGTTATACCCCCTATAGTCAGTGAGCACTGTAGGTGCTACAGTTAAAATAAATTGGTGCTTTAATGTATGCATTTGTATTCCTTCCTGCTATATTGAGAAAAAAGTATAAGCATATTAAAATTGTACTGGTGCTAATATGGACTACTCTAAGTGACAAACTGGTATGTGGTAGAAATTCAGAAAGAGGAAACCATACCAATATAATTTTAAACACTCTACTCAGTGCCCCAAATGGGAGAGGGTGAAGAGCTGTTCCTCCAACTAATGCCTGAAGGAAAAAGGGAGGATCACAACCTCATGCAGTGATTGATACTCTGATTAAAGAGAGAAAGGGTAGAGAAGACTGGTGTCACGGCAGGCACACTGACTCTATAGCTGCGTTGCTGGGGTACAAGTCCCAATTCTCCAACTATAAACACTGAGTTACTTAATTTCTAGGTTCTTCTATATAAAATGAGAACAATGATTATACTTACTGCATGAGGGCTGTCAGAAGGATAAAATTAATTAGCATATGACAGTTCACTTACAAGTGTTCAATGCACAGTACTAGGTAGGCATTTGCACAATAAATAAAAAATCACTTATAACAGTATAATAATCCATCTATGAATATGCCTTACACTCTATTTTAGGGCAAGCCGACAGGATTCATGGTTCTCTTCTGAAAGATCTTATGAGCTAAGTGGTAAACTGAAGCAAATGCATATTAATAAATATGCATTATGCTCATAAGCTTAAGAAGTTGTTTTGAGGTCAAAAAATTTCCATGAAATTCAGGCTCAACCACTAATGAGCTACATAACCAAAGGTAAATTATTTAACTCTAGAATTATTTGACTCTAGAGTCTTGGTTTCATTTGTAAAATGGAGAGAATTCCTGCCTTGTAAAGTTTTTATGATGATTAAATAAGCCAGTGACTTACTTTTTTTTTTTTACTGTAACCTATGGGAAGACATATATTTTACATTAGAACCCAGTATACAAACAGGTAGGCTGTAGGCTATGTGACCCAGCCAGAAAACTGTGAGTGCCCGAGGGGTGAAAGTGTGAAAAGGGGGATCATCTGCCCCCAAACACACTTCCTCACTGGGGAACCTGAAGGTCCAGATCACAGGAGAAGAATTTGACCTTGCCTGGAACTGAGACTAATTTAGACAGCTGAGCCAAATACAGGGGTGGGGGAAGGAGCAGGAAGAGCCCTGTGGGAATTCTCCATCCCCAGGAGAATTCTTTGTTTCTCAGGGATCCTTGGGAGGGCTGCCAGAGGAACTGGGCAAAGACCACAGGGAGAATGAAATTTCCAGCTGAACTTTGTAACCATTTTGACCAAACACCAAGTTTCCTGAACAGAACCTGGGGAGGGGCAAACCAGGAGTGCAGACACAAGCATAGAAGCTGTGGCAGGCAGGGAGGCATGAAACCTGAAAGCCTTGCTTGCTTCCTCAGTGGGGAGGCATGAAGCCTGGGTAAGTTCTCATCCCTGCTGACTGGCTGCCTGGAAATAAAACTCAGTGCAACTGAGGATGGGGCAACCCAGCCTCTTGGGTTGCATGGGAGCTGTTGAGGCCTGTAACTGCCAGCTTTCACCCACTTCCCTGGCAACATGCATGACAAAACAAAGGCAGCCTTAATCCTCCTGGGAATATAACTTCTTGGCCTGAGAACTACACCCACATACCCACAGCAGCTGCAGCAACCCCTACCCAAGGAGAGTCTAAGCTCAGACACACCTAACCCTGCCCCCAGCTGATGGTCTGTCTCTATCTGCCCTGGTAGCCAAAGACAAAGGACATAATCTCTTAGGAGCTCTATGGCCCTGCCCACTGCTAATTCTCCCTATACTCTCTTGAAAGTGCCATCTCTGTGCTAGAGGCCAACCAACACAAAACTAGCACACTAAACAAAAATACAACCAAGGACCCTCACAGAGTCCACTTCACTCCCTGCTACCTCCACCAGAGCAGGTGCTGGTATCCATGGCTGAGAGACCGGAAGACAGATCACATCACAAGACTCTTTGCAGACACTCCCCAGTACCAGGCTAGAGCCCATTAGCTCTGCTGGGTGGCTAGATCCAAAAGAGAAATAACAATCACTGCAGTTTGCCTCTCAGGAAGCAGTATCCCTAAGGGAAGAGGGAGACAACATCAAAGGAGCACCTCCTTAGGACAAAAGGATCTCAATAGCAGCCCTTCAGCCCCAAATCTTCCCTCTGACATAGTCTACACAAATGAGAAGGAAGCAGAAAAACAATTCTGATAATATGACAAAACAAGGTTATTTAATACTCCCAAAAGATCATACTAGCTCACCAGCAATGAATCTAAACCAAAAAGAAATCTCTGAATTGCCAGAAAAAATTCAGAAGGTCAATTGTTAAGCTACTCAAGGAGGCACCAGGGAAAGCTGAATACCAACTTAAAGACATTTTAAAAATGTTACAGAATATGGATGAGAAAATCTCCAGAGAAATAGCATAAATAAAAAACAATCACAACTTCTAGAAATGAAGGATGCACTTTACAATGGAAACTCTCAGCAATAGAATCAAATAGAAGAAAGAACTTCAGAGCTCGACAAGGCTTTCGAATTTACCTAATCCAGCATAGAGAAAGAAAAGAGAATTTAAAAAAATAAACAAAGCCTCCAAGAAGTTTGAGATTATGTTAAACAACCAAATCTAAGAATACGTGGTATTCCTGAGGAAGAAGAGAAATCTCAAAGTATGGAAAACGTATTTGAGAAAATAAGGAAAACTCCCCCTGCCTTGCTAGAGATCTAGATATCCAAATACAAGAAGCTCAAAGAACACCTGGAGAGTACATTAAAGAAAGATCATTGCCTAGACACAGAGTCATCAGGTTACCCAAAGTCAAGACGAAGGAGGAAATCTTAAGAGCTGTGAGGCAAAAGCACCAGGTAACCTATAAAGAAAAATCTATCAGAGTAGTAGCAGATTTCTCAGCAGATGCCCTATAAGTTGGAAGGGATCGGGGTCCTATCTTAAAATTCCTTAAACAAAACAGTTATCAGTCAAAAATTTTGTATCCAGCAAAATTAAGCTTTCTTCTTTTTTTTTTTAATTGCATTTTAGGTTTTGGGGTCCATGTGCAGAACATGCAAGATAGTTGCATAGGTACACACACAGCAGTGTGTTTTGCTGCCTTCCTCCCCTTCACCCACATTTGGCATTTCTCCCCAGGCTATCCCTCCCCAGCTCCCCACTGCCCGCTGTCCCTCCCCTATTCCCCCCAATAGATCCCAGTGTGTAGTACTCCCTTCCCTGTGTCCATGTGTTCTCATTTTTCCTCACCCACCTATGAGTGAGAATATGCGGTATTTCATTTTCTGTTCTTGTGTCAGTTTGCTGAGAAGCTTTCTAAATCAAAGAAAGGCAATCTCTTTTTTAGACAAACAAATGCTGAGAGAATTTGCCACTACCAACCCAGCACTATAAGAACTGTTAAAAGGAGTTCTAAATCTTGAAACAAATCCTTGAAATACGTCAAGATTACAACATCCTTAAAGCCTAAATTTCACAAGACCTATAAAACAAGAGTACAATTGAAAAAAAAAAAACTTGCAAGGTATTCAGGCAACAAATACCACGATGAATAGAATAGTATACCTCACACCTTAATACTGATTTTGAATGTAAATGGCCTAAATGCTCCACTTAAAAGATACAGAATGACAGAATGGTTATGAATTCACCAACCAAGTATCAGCTGTCTTCAAGAGATTCACCTAACACATAAGAACTCACATAAACTCAAGGTAAAGGAGCAGAAAAACATGTTCCATGTAAACAGACACCAAAAGCAAGAGTAGCTACTCTTGTATCAGACAAAACAA